TAATTCTATATTCTTCTTCTTGCTCCTTGTACACACACTTCGGCGTCTGGTTTGATATTCGTTAAACGGTAAACGGGTCCCCAAGGGCGGAACACGATGACCAAGCTCGCGGTAAGTCGACCAGCGTCGTCGTCTGGATTACCCATACGGATTTTTTTTTTTTTGCATCGTTCGTTAACGAGAGAAGAGACGAGGGTTGATTGTTAAGATCGAGAGGGTGAAGTGATGTGAGAACAGTGATGGGGGAATTCGGTTCTTTCTACGATTGGGGATCAGGGATTCTTTTTCTGAGAATTTTTTAATATTTTTGCTGTTCTACTGATTTAGTCTGATTTTCTAGTTAAGCACTTTTAATTATTAAAATTGAATTGTTTTATGGCTCACGTGATTACAGATTTTTTTCAGAACTTTTTGAAGACATTTTTACTGTTCGTTGTGTTAATTTAGTCTAATTTTGAAGTTACATATTTCTTATTACTAAAATTGAATTGTTTCATGATTCACGCGATCACGAAATTTTTTGAGAATTTTTTGAAAACATTTTTGCTATTGGTTGTGTTAATTTAGTCTAATTTTTCAGTTAAATATTTCTTAATACTAAAACTGAATTGTTTCATGATTCAGGTGATCACGGATTTTTTGCGAATTTTTGAAACACATTTTTAATATTCGTTGTGTTAATTCAGTCTAATTTTTCAGTTAAATATTTCTTCTTACTAAAACTGAATTGTTTCATGATTCACACGATCACGGATTTTTTGCGAATTTTTGAAACACATTTTTAATATTCGTTGTGTTAATTCAGTCTAATTTTTCAGTTAAATATTTCTTCTTACTAAAATTGAATTGTTTCATGATTCACGCGATCACGAAATTTTTTGAGAATTTTTTGAAGACATTTTTGCTATTGGTTGTGTTAATTTAGTCTAATTTTTCAGTTAAATATTTCTTAATACTAAAACTGAATTGTTTCATGATTCAGGTGATCACGGATTTTTTGCGAATTTTTGAAACACATTTTTAATATTCGTTGTGTTAATTCAGTCTAATTTTTCAGTTAAATATTTCTTCTTACTAAAACTGAATTGTTTCATGATTCACGTGATCACGAAATTTTTTGAAGAAATTTTTGCTATTGATTGTATTGATTTAGTCTAATTTTATTTTTCAGTTAAATGTTTCTTATTACTAAAACTAAATTGTTTCACGATTCACGTGATTACAGTTTTTTTGCGAATTTTTGATATATTATAAATGGTCAGAGATTCTTGCAAATTCCTAAAACACATTTTTGCTGCACATCGTACGAAGCTATACTTCTTGACTACTTATTACAAGGGTTACTAAATCATCATCTCCAAACTGTCCACAGCAATTCGGAACATCGAGAAATCCACAAAACACTGAAAAAATGAGCAAATCGATCGAAAAGAATCTCTCCTGGAAATTTCTATATGCAAATAGAATCGTCGGGTGTAGCTGTATTCTAAAAAGACACTTGCAGCAACCAGAACTCACTCGAATCTCTCTCTCGATTTCGAAAGTCTGGACACGTTGGCGCATCGGTAAAAGTAATTCTGAATTCTGATTATTCATCCGTCTATCTTTCTTTCAGGCTGTCTTTGTGCTTGCCTCGTTGCTCAACCTCGTCTCAGGAGGAGGACACCAAGGAGGACAGTAAGTTCCCTTTTTTTTTTGCGTTATACACGGTAGAGATTATACGCGCCCGAGACTGTAGGAACACGGAAGCTATATCGTAAACTATAAATCGGCGAAGGAATACGTTTAACGAGCCGTGACTCGACCCACGTGTCGCGACTTTCTCTTCAATCCACTGCTTATCGACGGTCAATTTTCCCCGAGACCGTCGAAAGAAAGGATAAACGAGACCAGACAAGAGTCATTTCTCCTCCTCCGTCGTTCAACGATCCAGGAAGCCACGTTTTCGTCCCATTGCGCGCACAATCGGCCGTGTCGGCGCGATCGGGAGTATAATTGAAACGTGCCGCCGATCCACATAGTTGGTTTATAATCGTGGAAGAATTTGCGTCGATTTTAGATGGTAGATCAATGTTTCAATGCTTGTCGATGTTCTGAATGTTCAAATCATATGGAAAGTCTCGAAAAACTCACTTAGACGATACTTCGAATGACCATAATTGAAAAATATCGAGTGACTTCGAAAGCTCGGCGAAAAATTCATCAGAAATTTTCTGGGATATCTACATTCTCCTCTTATAATCATCTAAATCTGCGAAATAGAATTTATTAAATTTATTTTGTTCGCTACGCACCTTAATTATATTAATTTATCAACATTAATATTCATTTATCAATATAATTAATACAATAGCACCTTGATTAATTTTCCTACGAAAAATTAAGCACAAAGCATTAGCTTCAACACTGAAACCGAAAAAATATCAAAAACAGACTTATTCATTTCTCCCCTGAGTGCGTTAAATACAAAAAAATGTGTCATTTTAAAAAATCAAATCAATATCCAAACCTTACTAAATCGCTCGAAAAAATCACTTAGAAAATATCCTTCCAAAGACCACAAACAAAACTCCCAGAAATATCGAATCACTTCAAAGATCCACGTTACTCAAGATAGTAACCTCAAAGTTACTAAAAATACAAAAAAAACATGGAAAACGGAAGATAATAATTGTTGCAGCGACCACGTGGTGATCCACGTGCCCTACAAGATCAAGACGATCCATCACACGCACACGATCACCAAGCACATCCATCATGGCGGCGGAGGTGGCGACAAGTACGAGGTGTTGGGCTACACCGTTGGCCATCCCATAGACATCGGAGGACACGGCGGTGGTTTAGGAGGAGGTGATATAGGCGGCGGTGGCCACGATTTCGGCGGTGGCGGCGGAGATTTCGGAGGCGGCCACGTCGAATACGGCGGCGGCGGCGGTGGAGGCGGAGG